ATCACACCCGGCAGTATACAATATTCATTATGTTAATTAGCAAACGTGAAATCGAAGAGATATGTGGACGAAGATCCACCATTAAGGACTAGTGGCACGAGATGGAGAATCAAGCTTTTCCCCCAAACCCTAAAAAGTCACTTGTAGGCTTTGATAATCGGAGCACGTTTTGCGTACAATCGAATCACGTGAGCTGATATTATCTTAGTCATTATATGATGTGACTAAGATGGGCAGGCATGATGTAACGTTTAAAATTGAGTGGGCTAACAGGGTATGTAGGAATTTTTCCGGGAACTGATGGACTTGGTGACTCGGATGGGCAGATATGGCGCATCATATCGGGTCCTCATGAGATATTGTGAAGGTTAAGATCACTCCGTCTACCCCAAAAACATCGGTCAAAATAAGCTTTTCACTGTGAAAAAGCGTCAAAAGTGCATTCTTTTTGTTACCTTGATAGCCATAAAAAATTAAACCACTAAATTTGGAAGGAAACCCTCCAAAAACTTCAGTCAATTCATCTCCTTCAATCGTGCATTTCATCTATTTCACTTGCATATTAATGCAATGTTATAGCTCATTTCGTTTCCATCACTTTACATTTATTGCAAAACTGTACACATTTCAAACTGAAAGTTCTACCATATTCACTACTCAAACTAAACTCTCTAGATAAAGATGGATGAGTCGACTCAGTAATCTCACGTGGATTTCACTTGATTCGGCAAATCTCATGTCGTGAAGCCCATAATCTTAAGGTAATTTAGGCTCTGAAGCTCAACTGTGATGGAAAGATGGTCGATCTTCTTCTCTTTCCCTCTTAAAGATGAGCAAGCTTATATATATTCTTATAAGATCATATTCTTTATTCTAGGGTTTCGTTGCCTTGTAAGGACCACATTCCTGTCCCTTCTGTCCTTGGCGGGGCTCGACGCAAATGTGAAACCTAACATTATTCCATCCCTAGCGGTAGTTCTCCCTTATTGTCCTGTTCCGGATTAGCATAACACCTAAGCATGATTAAGACTACAAATGGCGTAGTAGACACTTACTTTAAGCACACCATCGTTTACTTCCTCTCTTAACTAAACTTTAGGTTGACGACTTTGGGTATGGTCTGCCTAGCTGCGAATTTTATGGTTAATCATATGGTCGGTGAAGTTAGGTTACAGGTGGTTGAGCTTGTGAGCTGTCCAACTATATTGAGTCAACGAAAGTACAGAAATGAGAAAAACTAGATCAACAAGTACGTCAGAAGCAATTATAATACGCAGCTTTCGAAAATTCTTATAAAAACACAGACCGAGTTTTCCTAGAAATTGGTAATGATGTTTGAATTAGTTGGGGTTCCAAACCAAATTTACAAAATGTCATCAAGATGTTATATCAGATGATGAAATTTTCGTTCGTACCATGCATCTAGTTAAATTAAGCTTACATATGCCTCTCTCTCTATATATACAACAAATTTATTTGCTTTAAAAGTGAATTTTTATCTAAAAATAGCCATGTGATCCATACTATCAAGCTAATTTGTACAGTGAACAATCTTACCTTACATATATATGTCTGCAAATACGATCAAATCGGACGCATTTGAGCCGTCGAAAGAGAGATTGTAAAGCCCGATAAGAGAGAGAGAGAGAGAGAGAGAGAGAGAGAGAGAGTAAATCACACAAAAGTGATATTACATGACGTACTGATGCAATCTCATTGGATCAATTAAGATCCACGTGCTTATTATTTTTGGATGCAGGACAACTAACCCAAATTTTTTTTTGAACAACTAATTAACCCATTTGATTGCCCAATGATTCTACACCAATCATTACATTTTTATACAAGTATTGCTAGATAACCAAATAGAAAAATGAATTGTTAGATAATGTAGAAACTTCTTTTCTTTCTTTTCCTTTTCCCAAATTTTCGTAAAAAGAGGAGAATCCGGCTTGGGTAAAGGCGCAAGTGCGGGGACTTGAATAGAAGCAGTGGCACACGAGGTCCACATGAATGAGCCACTTGTGTGTACGCCTCTCTAATTTCTACTCCCTCCTTCTCGATCGAGCCTTTTGTCAAAACAAAGCACATCAAAGACCACATTGCCCACACTCGCTTCCCAAACTCGGAAAATGTACTATTTTCACCTCTTTGTCATAATGTGACTAAGACCCATTCGGGTTTGAGCAAGTGCTAAACTAGCCCTTTCAATTTTTCACTTTAATTTTTGCTGAATCCACACCTATGCACTTGCGCCATTGATATTAATGGCCCTGTGTGCGACCCATATGATTTAAGGATCGAGATGAATTGGGTTCACATGTCCTCGACATACTTGATTGTGTCTCAGTCTGACATGACGACTCGTCTGATGTTTGAGGGCGACCGCCATGATAGGGGCCTTGTCAAGTTCGCACCGTCTCAACCACCATTAGTTTATTCAGTTGTGCTCTCCCTTTTTTTAAGCCTTTTCCTGCCTCATTAATAATTGAGAGGCGCTATTCGAGGTATTAAGATATACACAAATGGAGGAGAATAAAGACTCCATTATCCACACCACACGTTATGCCACTTCCACCACCTCCATCTCGCACTACATGCCAAAACTCTCTCTCTCTCTCTCTACGCACACAAAATTAAGGGAAAAGGATGGCAATATTAACATGGACACTTTTGTCCACGTCTAATTCTAGATGTTCATGAGGATTGGATGACCTTTAGCTTCACTTGAACTATTTGTCTTCGCCTTCGCTAGGAAGCTATCTAAGTCTTGCAATAATTGAAACCCTAACAAGCTCCAAACTTGAAGAAGGTGAAATACGTAACTGACGATGATGACATGATATGATCGATCAATCATCACTGCTCGTATGCTATGAATCTCATTTCACTCGACGCAGTCTGTATTGTGTTTTCACCTTTGATCGATCAGTTCACCGCGAACCACTAACATGCAGTATATCTTGTCGATAAGATAACTTCTTCCCTACATAGAAGCCATTTCTAGATCCGCAAATATAGTACTTTTGAGACATCGGACATTGATGTTTAATCTTTCTAACGATCTAGTTAGAACTAACAAAGAATAGGCTCATGGCTCTTATTAGATGCCTTCATAGGAAAGTAGGTCATGGGGCCCTAAATGGGGACATTATCTGTTTATAGTAGTCCAAGTGTAAATCTACTAACTCACTCGTTCTTGATGATATCGACATATCTCTGATCAAATAATGTTGTGCATGCCATAGTTTATCTTATGCTTATATATGCATATAACGAGGAAAGACAATTTGATTTTCCTAAAAATTGACGCATGATGTATAAATCATGAAGATGAATATCACGTTTATTTTTTTTATTATGTGGGCTTCCATGAGCTACAATTCAAGCAAGTCTTGTGATGTGATTTTTCTTTTAGAATGACTCGGTGACATGGAAAATAATCGAACAGTTTCTTCCATCAAAGAGAGGACATGGGCGGCATTTGATTGAAATGCTCAAAACAAGGTCCTACGTGGCACGCACAGAAGGGACATCAGTGTGGACGTGGCACTTCTTGGCCGCATGTGGGACTTAGCTCTAACTTGTAAGCATCTCTCACTCTCTCTATCTACACTTAGTTCTTTTTTTCTTGGCGGTATCTCCATACATTTAATTAGTGTTGGCTCTTAACTTGTATGTTTGTCAAAGGAGTTGAATATCTTAGTCATTGCAAAGGGTCAATTCATCTGAGGGCTTCCAACTAATTAATCAAACTTTCACGGCCGTGTCCTCCGAATTATATACGCAACAGGCACAACCCTTGTCGTCGTCTTCAATAATTCAGCGCTCGGCGCGGTTAATTGCTCCACCAATAAACCCCTTATCTCTTCGCACGTCAAATTATTAAAGATACCGGAAGAAAATTGTTAATCTCAAATGTTAATCACATATAGTTCTTAATCTAAATATCTTGCGAGTGCTGTCCAGCCAGCGGTGGAACCAAATTTCCCCCCAAAAGAAAACAAAAGAAACCCCAAGAGAAAACGGGGGTGGTGGAGGAGGGAGGAAGGAGGCGGCAGCACGCACGCAGCCTTTTCAGATTCCTCACGGCTCTCATAATCCAACTTTGTTTAATGCACTAATCCCAATAATAACCTAAAGAGGAGACGGCCACGAATAGAGGGCACGTCCCTTTCACGTGTCCCCCCCTAGACCTTTTCTTTTTTTTTTTTTTTGGTCGAAACCCCTAGATCTTTTCAACGACACTCAAAAACCCTGCGATGCTCCCCCCTTCTTTCCCCATAAAAGCCCGACCTCGAGAAATCCATTCAAGCGCCCCCACCAAATGCATTCACACTCATCAGTCGAAATAGGGAAAGCTGGGATCACTTCGTGTTTTTTCTCTCTTTATTATTAGTGCATAATCGGGATTAGGTGCTAAGCTAATTGAATCTGGACAGGCGCTTGTCGTTTAGGAGAAAGGAAGCAATCAGCAGTGAGAATCTGGCAGTCCTGGACTTGCCAACCTATCAAGCAAAATATCGTCTGTTGATAGATAGATGGAAACGCAGATGCTCACAGCATAGTGAGCTGACCCCCATGATTGAAAGTGGACCCAAGATAATGAGGGATCCCACCGAGGACCAACTACCATCACATGAATAAGGCTAAAGAAATATGTGGGCAGATCCCAAAAAAAAGGAGAAGAAAAGGAAATCTCACTTCATAATCTGGACATCGATTAGTCTTCACATGCTATCGAAATGTCAAAGTCCCATGCGATTACCCTTCTTTACATTGATCGACATAGCACTTTCAATAAAACTAGCATTCCCGTCCAGAGTAGAGCACACACGTTAGCATATACTAGTCCTAAGCATAGTGGGCGTTTCCCGCCAAACAATGACAACTATATTACAGTGTTGTACGATAGAACCATTGCATGATAAAGCAAAAGGTGCTATGCAAGACTTGGCAGTGTACCAGCACAACACGGACTTAATCATGAAAACCATGCAAAACAAACACATTTTTTCTTTACACATATCGATAAGCCACTCCGTTATTGCAAATCATGTTTGAACATATCGGGAGTCGATGATCATTACATGGGACATATGTACACTTCATATCTATAGATTCCACCTCATGAAACCAAATCCTATGTAGCAACTAAAAGAGGTAAAGCCAAATCCTTGGTCCATATACAACCAGAAAAAGCCACAACTATGTCCAATATTCACCATATGCTATTTACAGCTAAAGCTTTGACTATTTCGGCCCCCCTTATACCACATTTCACTTTGCATTCTTGTGCCTAATAATTTATGTTTCTGTATTCGTCCCACCATTGACTCACTATACACTATAAACTAAGAAAAGCACTGATCTTCTTTCTTCTTCTTCTTCTTCTGTCTTTCTTTTTTTCATTTGTTTTCAGAAAGGAGCGCGATGAGGAATGCCCTTTCTTCGCCTGGCATTGCTGTGGTTATAGATTGGCGGAGTGCCGGGAGAGATGCTTGCGGTGGCGTCATCCCCGGACCAAGTCAGCCTCTCTCCTCCATTGATCTTATTATCGGAGAAAATCACTGTCCCGTCCATCAGACGGCCAAAGAACGGGGACTTCCGAGGCTTCTTTGGCGTCCACGACTCATCCGAATCGAAGTCACCGCTGAGCGCGTCCCTGCCATGCTTGAGTTTCAGAGTGAATGTGAGGTCCGGATCATCGCCCCTCTTCATGGCATTGAGCTACAGAAGAAATGGACAGATTCAGATGAATGTCGAGAAACTTTGGTCAACACGTGCTTGATAAAAAATAGACGCCATGCCAATGTGAATGACTTGAAAGCAAGCAAATTCAATAGATTCGATCAGCAGAGTAGGTGAAGAAACATTGCCCCAGATACAAAATGTCAGTCAAAAGCGAACTTGCACGCAATTAAATTAATAAAAACCAGAAAACCTGGGCGGTTAATCCAATATATACCACAAATTTTGCGCCGGTAAACCAATCATTCATTAGTCAAACTAATACAAAATCGATCGAAAATGCTCAAATTCAACAACGAATGAATGAAAAGAACTTGTCCATGAATCAATCAATCATTCGACCATCCCAAAAATGCACTTCAATCGCAGGGAAGAAGGATGAAAATCAGAAAAATTTACCTTGCAACCCAGAGAACAGAACCTGAAGGAATCAAGGAGGCTTCTGCAACAAATCTCGCAAGTGTTGGTGACCCCCTTGCCAGGCCTGGGCTGTGGCCTCTCATTGAGGAACACGATCTTCGCGCTGTTGATTATGTATGTCTGAACGCACGATATATCTATGTACTTCTGAATCTCATTCACCCTCACCACGTTGTGGTACGACGATCGTCTTATCTGCAAAAACAACCCCCGAAACAGAGAACTCACAATCCCATTCGATGAAAAAGATGGAAAGTTTCCCAGGCAATCCGGGACAAGGGGTGATTCTGAACGAGCACAAAAGGGCTCGTTTTGACGTACCTGAACGACGCGATGGTCCCTGTGATGGACGCGACAGTAAGAGCAGAGAGCATTTCCGACGCAGTCCAAGCAGAACATGTTGCACTCGCTCTTGTTGGAGTCCCCATGGATAGGACAGGGCGTGAAGTAGCTCGCCCGGAGCATTGGCTTCAGCCACGGCGGACCCAAATCGTCGTTTCCCGTTCTTATTATCGGGCTCACCTGAAGAAAGCAAAAAATCGAACAGGACACCAACACCAAAATCAAAACCGACCCTTCACGTTCTTCTCCATCACGCAGCCGAAATGGAAACAGCCAAAAACAGAGGGGACCAAAAACACGCGGTACCATCACTTTCTCGCGGTTGGTCTTGAAGAATTCGATGCTCTGCAGGTGGTGATGGATGTCGAGAGCCACCTTGTCCCAGCTTCAAGGCAAAATCCAACCCGGTCTCCACCTCCTTCTGTCGACTCAGCTCCGAGAAAGATTGGAACTTTTCGTCCTCTGCAAATGCACCAAAGCTCGACACGATCGATGGCAGCAGTCGAGACTGATATACTGTGGCGGAGGAAGAAGAAGGGACTGGAAAGACAGAGAGAGAGAGAGAGAGAGAGACGGAGGATCATATATCAGATGGAGGAGACGAATCTATGAGGCGGTCAATCAATAATAATTCATTCCTGGGGATTTGTGTGGGTCTGTTTTTTAATTAATTTTTACCAAAAATATTTTCCGAACTCAATTTTATCTTTATTTATTTTTTTTTGGGGTTTTTTTTTTTGAACTTGGTTTTTTTTTTAGGGGGTTTAAGGAGGTGAGGAAACGTGGCCTGTTCTCGCAGAAGCCGAGCTCATCGACGGGGGGCTCTCGAATGCGGACAGCGATGACAAGATTCTCACGTTTCATTACCCGTCTGATCGAAATTCCCCACCTTATTTTTTGTTTTTTTCCTTCCTTTTTGGCCCTTTTTTTTTTTGTATTTTATTTTCTCCGAAAAAATAAGGAAAAATGAAAATATGGAGGGGGGAGCCGGGGCTGGAGCTGGTGGCGGTGTGCGGATGCGGCCGCCGTTGACCGGAGAAGCGTGTGTGGCTGAGGGTACGGACCTTGTGATCTGAAGGGGGTGGGTGGGCCCCCCCAACAGGATTTGTGGGAGGAGGTGGGGGCGCTGCGCGCATGATCGGACAAAGGTGACGCCGCCTTTTGTGCTGTTCCGTGATTCCCCACGTCCTGGGCGGGGGACACGTGCGAACACACCCCCACACCCCCTCCTCCTCCCGGAAGAACCCATTTCCGGGGGGCGATCGATTCCCGAATTGATCCGATTTCATCTTGAAACTGAGAATCGGGCCCCGGTTGGTCCCAATCCGATTCTTGGGTTGAATTGGTCCAGTTTAGGATTTAGTGTTTTCTTTTGTAATGTTCTTTTCTTAGTTCGGTCCAGGCGGTCCGATTCTGCACCTGAAACTGGGTATCGACCTGATTATTCCCGATTCCAAAAATTGGAAGCAGGAAACCGAATCAATTCTTGCAGGTATAGCCCATAACCGGCTGGTTCGGTTCGGTTCGGTTTGGTCCAATCCAGTTTCCCCTACACAACCCTAGCTAGTTTGATCGAAACGGAACTCCCAAAGAGTGCAAGTTAAACTTTTTCTGTTCGTTTCCTCGTTTTCTTCTCCCTTTTTTTTTCGCAATTCAAACTTTTGGGATTTTTCGGCTCGGATCGAATCTCATCACGACCTTCCTTTTCACATGAATCGAGCCAGACTCAAATCGTAGAACAATGAACGTGCAGTCGTCGAGATTACTCTAGGGTAGGAACACATGAGCACGCGCATGGCTCGCAATGTTCCGGGCCGGTGACCGGACACGTCAATTAGATCGACAAAAAAATAAAATAAAATAAAATGCAGTACACCATTTACATACGATATTTGAGCTTGTGCACTCGAACGAACATGAGCGCTGCTGGATAAGCATACACCGACAAAACAACATTATCACTTTGCCCAACTCAATCAAACCGAATTAAAAAAAAATAAAATCAAACCACATAATTTTTCTTTATTTTCTTATCATTTTTTACGATTTTATTTTCTTGTCCTCTTTCACGAGATAATCTGAACCGCCAATGGCAGTCGGTCCAGTAGAACTGCATAAGACTTCACGGAATATAAATTTCTTCCTCTTGCATTTTCCTTTTCCTTAGTGAAAAATCTGTATAATTTTAGAGTACACTTCTGAAAAAAAAAAAAAAGAGTTCATGGATGCTCTTCTTTGTTGCTAAGAAAACAGGGCATTCAAGGCCTACGTCCACGTATACGCAACTTGACCTCTTCGAAATATCTCCTCTGCTTAGGTTTGTGTCATCAGAACCAACGAATATCTGCGCTGCTGCACTTACATCTCCCTGTGCAGTCCTCGTGCTCGTCTTACAAATATCGTCCTTCGCTTTCACGTCGATAGGAAACTGAGAACTCCCTTTGGTAAGCTGCGGTTGGCGTCCATATTCCGCGCATTCGCCATGGAAACCCTAACAGAAATATCTGTTTGGACACGAGAGTCTGCTGGACATATATAGCGATGTACAATTAAAGCTGCAATTCATTCCCGCTATCAAGCTCGACACTGTCTTTGATGAGCGTAGTTCGCGTGATTAATGTTCGTGTTCGAGATGTTTCCATCGTTAATAAGACTAGGGTTTGTATCGCTTGGTGTTCTGATATTTGTTTACTGGTGGTGTTGATATTCCTTTCTTGCTTTAAGTGAGTAGCATCGGCTTGATATTCACTTTATCATGGTGCGTTACGCATAAGTGGTATCAGAGCAGTATTATTGTGATTTTCAGATCTTTAAAATTTATGTTATAGGGTTTCAAATACATTTTTAATCACACGTCGCCTAGATGGGCCGTTGCGCTGATAGATAAATCTTGTACAAAATTAAAGTAGCTGGTGAACTCCAAACAAATCTGACAATATTGTGCTACCACCTGGATGGGCTACGTACACATATGATATGGCAACAATAGTGGTTTATCGGGATTGATTTTACTTTTTGCCTTTTCCCTAATCTAAATCTCGTAACTCGTGCACTTTGACAATTTCAAAAATTGGAAACTCAATGAAATTTTCACCACACTTAAATGTTGACACGTGAAATCACATGAAATTTTCTATGATTTTTATAGGTTTTGCGGAGAGGGGAATTTTTTTTTTTACTAATTGTTTACACTCACGTAAGGTGATTCGAAAAAAAAAAGAAGCTAACAGGCGATGCTTCCGTAAGCCAATACGCGAATGAAATATCTTCACTCTACTAAACAATGGAGTTTTTAATGAAACCACAGCTTACACGTTTTCTGCCTTTTGAAGGTATTTGGAATTTTTGGTTGACATTTCAAGGGTGATTTGTGTACTTACAGAAGGGACAATCCCATCTTTAGCTGTATCTAATGTATCGAAAAGGTCATCCGGATTTCGCTCAACTGATCTTTTGCCATTCATGAGCTCTCTATTAGTCCATGATCCAGTTAAGTCGCGATCAAGTGGCTCATAAGGTATTAGTAGCACTCTGCAGTCAGAGGGCATCGAGATCGAGCTCGATCGCGACACGTGAAAGTCACACGCCCGAGCCCATCTCTTATCGAGCGGGGCCAGCCCCTTTGGGTTGATTTTTCATTTTTCTTTCTATCATCTTGCCGTGTCTCTCACTTCTTGCAGCTTTTGAGTTTGAGAGAGGGTGATTGATTGGAGTGTGAGAGATAACCCACCATAACCATGCTTAGTCAGAGGTAAAGTATGGTCAGCACAGTGTGTGGCGTCTATTGAAGAGTGTGTGATTGTCAAAGATACTCTCACTGTCCTCCAAAGAAAAGGTGGGTGGTTCCTTTTCTGTCAAAAATATATGAAAGCTTCAAGTTTCTTCTATTATTGTCAGCTTGAGAATCTTTGCCCCTCTTCGGTCGGTAGTGGAGTCGATGATTAGGACATTTTTCATCCCGTCACGGAACCTCAATTGAAATCATCATCATCAGACGTATGCTATGGATTGTCTTGGTTGAGATCCGATACCATGTAATTGAATTTTGTTACCTGACCCTGAAAAATTAGCAGAAAAGGATGTCCATGAAAATGCTAATTTCTTCTTCAGGTGAGCTGTGATATCCTCATGAGGAATCAACAGATTAGTTTGATTGATTTTAAACATCATTCACTGCTAGAAGTTGCAACGATTTGTCGCTACATAAAAGATTGTTGGGCTTGAACCATTATATTTGTAGAGATTATCTGAACATACAATAAACATTGCCTTTGGATAATTGCGGGAGGTTGCTAGGAATGCTGCAGGAGTATTGACTAGAGGCCGTGTTCCGGGAAGCTAACGGATGCGCTGATGCATCGGCAAACATGGGGTAAATGCGAGATCAGTGTCTTTTTTGATGTTCCTGGTACTGTATTGGAGCTGTATTTGCAGGATACTGCTGAGATATCTGTCTCAACGGTTGATGCAACTTAAGAACGATGTAAAATCCTTTAGATAGTATCATATCTAATGTTTACAGGAAGAAATTGTTGTCATGGTTCCCGATCTGATCAACGGTTCAAAGGGCATCTTGGGCCGGCCAAGCCCGATCTTTCATAAAACCACTAAGCCCACGGTCATGGAAGGGCCCGATTTCGACCAAAAAAGCCTCACTTGAGTCCCGCTCATAACATCCGCCCCTGAAGTTTGGCCCCGCTCCTAACTCATAAAGTTATGTAAATAATGTTTCCAAAAGACAGAAAAAGCAAGGAACAACCCGGTTGGGGTGGGCCTCTTAAGGATTGGCCTAGATGACAGCCCAAAGGCACTTATGATTCCAGTGAGTATGATCATGGGCCTGTTAGTGGGCAATCCTCCTGCCTCGGCCTGGTTAAGCCAACTTTGGAGATACATTTAGTGAAAGCCAAGCCCATGCTAGCTACAAAAAATATGAATATTTGTCGTAATTGGCATCGGGATGACAAAGTCTGGGGTTAAATTGTTTTCTTGACCTGCTTAGCTGCGTTTGGTAGCCCGGATTTGAGTCCGGTTAGGATAACAAATTATCTTATCCGGTGTTTGGTGACGTTCTCCGGACCGGATAAACCTGGATACATTCGGATAAAATGTCGAACATGAAATCCGATTTAGGAGGTGGGATAAGACTGGATTGGATATACAATTTTAAAAAAAATAAAAAATCATATATTATTTTTAACGGAGTGATAAAGTGATGCTTCGATATTGCTTCGTCAGCACTGCTCGCCCGAGGACCATCACCAAAATTACCGATCATCATCGCTTCCGACCACCACATGATCGCTGTCACCTCCGACCATGCCGGCCATCACTGCTGCCCGGCGATTGTGTTCTGACGAGTAAGGGTGAAAAAGGGTCTAAAGACAAATATTGTGCCGGGTTTGCATAAATCATCCTTTCCACCCCAGTCGCATGCGTCCTTCATGTCGAGTCGACCTATTGGTTGACGACGAACGACCAGCACATCACTAGCTTCTTGGCGACCATGCTCTCATGCGTCGAGTTCCACCTACACCGTGGTGTGGAACCTCCACTTGCGGGCCCATGCCACGATGCACACCTTCTTCGATGTCGCCTCTCTTAGCAAATTTCTT